TCGGCCGCTTAACCGACTGCGCCACCCAGGCGCCCCAAGATATTATTATCTTCAGACTGTAGATGCCTAGGAAAGTTAAGTAACTCGCCCAAAGTTCTAGAGCTGGTAAATCTGGGATTTGAATTCAGTTTTTGCTTCGTCTAAGCCCTATGCTCATGCACTTAGCTTAGATCAATATGTAATGAACCAATAGCTGAGCATCAAGATGTGAGCATAAATTCGTTATTTGTAGTGTTTTTAAAGGGTGTACATTTAATACCAGTGACATCAGCTTAGATAATGTTTGTGTGTGTGTGTGTGTGTGTGTGTGTGTGTGTGTGTATGTTACCACTTAAATTTATGACATAAAGTTTAATGGGCATCAATCTTTGAAGAAATGGGCTAATTGGTTAGCCCACAGGTTTGGCACATTATCTTTGTAATTAGCCTTTTTCAGTGTTGAATGTGGCACTGAAATTTTAACACAATTATCATTATTGGTGATAACAAATTATCCTTTAAATAAGTATGCTTACATATCCAGTACATTTAAATATATCAATTTATACAAAAAGAGTCAGCCAAATTCAAGGAAATTATGAAATGTGATTTAAGAAAAGATAGACAGTTAACCCCAACGCTGAGATTTTATTGATAGTATTGAGAGTCTGAAAAAAAAAGTAGTAAGCATGACTAGTAAATCTTCATTCATGCATTGGCTTATTCATTTACCTTGCATTTTAAAAATAATAACAATTATAATTTTTGAGTGTCTATGTGAATTCAGTGCTAGTCTATGTAACTTTACATCCTTGATCTTATAATTGTCTTTTATCTTTCTAAGATTTCCATCAGACAGGTATTATTACGCACCTTTAACAATGAGAACAATAACTTCATCAAAATCTCAAGAGCTGAAAAGTGGTGTAACCAGGATTCAATCCTAGAATTTCTTTATGACTTGGAAAACTACTTTTCTGTAGAAGGATCTTGAAATTCTATTCAGGGACCTCTGGATGGGGAGTCGGGAACTGGGTCTCAGGTTTCCGTGCTATCACTTATACATGTCACATTAAACAATGTCTCTGAGTCCACTTAGAGGGTTGGATGAGATGCTCTCTAAAATCTGTTCTCATTCAAAACTAACTTCTTTTACATGTATTCTTTCTCCGAGTATCATTGGTAATTTGGCAATTGCATTTCCATCAACTACTTTTCTGTTGTAATGTTTATGTGTGCTTTAAAAACATTAGAACATTAAAATACATTCATTGTTGTAAATTTACATAGTACAAACACACTCAGTAAAGAACCTAAACATTTCCCTTAATAGTATCACCCAGGGCTGATGACTACTAGATTGTTCATGAGTTATGGAAAGTGCTACGTGGGAAGGAGCTATTTAAGTAGATTGGTGGTACTTTCTTTAGACAGTTGATATCTTACTAAATGTTCTGTTCTGTGTATTCCTTGTAACATGAAACAGAAGTCAATATTTATTCACTTGCTATTATAACATCAAAAGCATCAAAAATGCTTTTTGGTAATTTCAAAATATTCAGTTTGGGCAGCAGAGACTTTTGAAGCAGGTGGGGGGACAGGACTATTACGAGCTTTGGACATAGAGTCTAGGTGTTAGGCTAGCTGCTAAGTGGGCAGGAGCCCTGTACCTTGTGCATGCAAGTTTAGGTGATTGCTATATAACTCTTTTTAAGTTTATTTATTTGTATTTGAGAGGGCGAACGGGAGGGAGAGAGAGAGAGACCACATACATGTGCAAGTGGGGGAGAGGCAGAGAGAGAGAGAGAGAGAAAGACAGAGAGAGAGAGAGAGAGAGAGAGAATCCTAAGCAGTCCCTGCCCCCCGATGTGGGGCTCAATGCGGGACTCAGACTCACAAGCCACGAGATCATGACCTGAGCGGAAATCGGGAGTCAGATGCTTAACCGACTAAGCCACCCAGGCACCCCACTGTATAACTTTTTAAGTCAACAACAAGTCTTCAAAACCACTCATTTCACCAGTGAAAAAATAAGTTCGAATATACCTCATACTTATCAATTGAACTTTCTGGTGAAAATTTCAATAAAGGTATCAGAGGCTGCTTTCACATCTGCAGTATATACTCCTTAACCAGTATTTGAGTTATGCTTCAGATGTATATTTCTTCCCAGCATAATTCAAATACTGACTAGCCACCCCTAACAAAATATTTAAGGATGGGAACATGTATCACAGTATTTACAATAAAGTTTTTAAAAGTAAATTCCTACTCCCTGGCATGGAATTAAAAACTTCTGTCCACACAAAAACGTTTATAGCAGCTTTATTCATAATTGCCAAAATTTGGAAGCAACCAAGATGTTCTTCGGTAGATAAATGGATAAATAAACTGTATTACATCCATACAATTGAATATTAATCAGCACAGAAAGAAATGAGCAATCAAACCATGAAGACATGAAGGAATCTTAAATGCATATTACCAAGTGAAAGAAGGCAATCTGAGAAGGTTACATACTGTATGATTCCAAATATATGGCATTCTGGAAAAGACAAATCTGTGGAGGCAGTATGAGGATCATTAGTTGCCAGGGGTTAAGGGAAAGGAGGGATGAATAGACAGAGCATTAGAGGATTTTTTTTATACGTAATTTATTGTCAAATTGGTTTCCATACAACACCCAGTGCTCATCCCAACAGGTGCCCTCCTCAATGCCCAGTGACGCTATTCTGTAGTAATGGTGTATTCTGTAATGTAATGGTGGATGCATTTCATTATACATTTGTCAAAATGCCTAAAATATACCACACCATGAGTGGACTCTAATGTGAACTCTGGACTTTGGGTGGTGACAATATGTCCCTCTGGGAAAATCTTGGTTTTACTGGAGAAAGAGGGAGTAATATAATAGAGGCATGTTTGGAAAACAGGAAAAATGAGTAAGACTCCATCTTAGCACTTGAAGAAATGGAAGCCTACTGTGCCCTGGGTGTGTAGAGAAGTCTGGAGGGGCAGGTTCATGACTAACCCTCATCCCAACTGCCCCAAGAGGAGATACAGAAGTGGAGACAAAGGAGCCAGATTTCCTGCCAGTGGAAGAAGGGGGGGGGTGGTTCTCAGTGGACAAAGCAGCATTTGAGATGACACTTGAAGGGAGAGAATTGACTGGAAGGACAGCCACCACGCGGGATGGGCGTACTTAGAGCTCTCTGTTCCGTGTCTCCAGTCCCTGGGATCTTTCAAACTCACTATGTGAAAGAATGGACAGGAATAGCAGCAAAGACAAAAACACCATCTGTGTTCTGCTACAGCTTTGGGTTCTGACTGTCGGATCAGTCTGTGTTTAAGTCCTCACATGTATTTTTGCATCCAAATAGAGGAGCCATAGTCAGTCAAGCTTCCTTGCCACCTTTCAGGAGTAAACTTGAACCTCACCATTCTAATGTTTCCACGTGAATGCTGCAAGTTTCTCGGGACTTGTCAATATGTAAAACCTTTATATTTGAATTCAGAAACACTTTTGCATGTGCTCTCTGCCTGTGAGCGTTTGAAGACACTTTAAACGAAAGCAAAGGATAATTTACTGGTAATCCTCAGCCTAATGTATTTTCTCTCTCTTACTTTTAAAGCGTTCGTGAATTGGAAAGTACAGGTTCTGGTTTATGTTACGACGTCCTCTGGGATTCAGGTAGTGCCTTCTTTCCTGCTCATCACCCATCAGCATTCGTGATTCCCTTATTTTAGATCTTTACAAATATTATATGGATATATTTGTGCTATAGGTTTGGTTTTTAAAGTTAAAATCCTTGATAATGAGTAAACTCCAGTACAGAAAATAAGCAATAAGTAAACAGCCAGTCCCTTCCAGGTGAAAAGTAGCAGAACTCAATACTGAGCATGTAGTTCTTTAGAGATTGGAAACCAGATCCCTCAGTGCAGCACCACTGTTTTCTGGACATTTCAGCAGACGCTGGGTCCCTGGTTAAAGGGATAGAAAGACCTTATTCTCTGTTTTTCCTAATGATGGTTGAAAATGGTCTGGTATCAGGAAGTGTAGCTTGACATGTTCACTTAGATTTTCTAGACTACTTTAATCCCTATAACTGCTGTCTCCCTCCACCCCAGACTGAATTGCCTTTGTGGAATATCAGACTGTTTGCTTGGGCAAATTGATTAATCTCTTTGTCTTTGAGAAACAGACCTAGTTTTCTGGCTCAAGATCTCAGGGTTTTTGTTTGGTTGTTTGTTTTTTGTTTTTTAAGCTGTTTTTCTCTCAATAGGAGCTTCGTTTCTACTCTGTACAAGGAGAATGAACACGTCTTATTATTTGAAATTTCAGTTTTTTTTTTTTTTATTGACTAAGCATCTATCCTTCAATATTTACCCCCAAATGCTACAATCAAATCTCTACATTTCAGTGTTAGATAGTGTAATGTAAGAAGCCATTTGTTAGAGTATATTTAATGGTTCTGTGATTTCTGTGTTACTAAAACAAGCAAAGTGTCAAATCCTTGTGAGTAACAAGAAACATTCTTATGCTTTTAATAAGAGTTTTTTTTTTCTTTATACATTCATAGTGCCTACAACCTATAATATGGATTAACATTGTACAGCCAAAAAGTAGCAAGACATTAGAAATGTACAGAGACTGGGCATTGTTTCCATTCCAAAAAAAAGTCATGAACTTAAATTTATACAACAGATAGTCTCAACCCATGCCTTACACAGAGGAAAAAAGGGTCATCAAAGCACAACGTTCCGGTTCTGTAAGAATGAAGAAGTCTCTTATGCACGTTTCTATCTGCACAGTTAGTATCTGCTAGACAAATCACAGAGGCCGCCTAGAGGATAGCAACAGATGATCTCTTTGAAGGTTTTCCTTAGTTCTTGGCTCCGGAGTGCATAAATTAGAGGGTCGATGATGGAATTACACATGATCAGTATGAGATACAGGTTAAAGTGAGACATGAAGCACACGCAGTAAGGATTCTGGGGACAAGAGATGTAGAATATTAAGTGGAGGAAGAATGGGGCCCAGCAGACAACAAAGACCCCAATCAGTATGGTCAGGGTAATTGCACCCTTCATGTTGGCCCCTTGGCGGATGGTGCCAGTGCCCGGGAGGACAGCAATTCTCTTAATGTGCAGTCTGGCCATGAGGAACATGTGGACATAGAGAGAGGCCATGAGAGCCAGCATGGTGAAGAACATGGTGATGAGGCAGATGATGACAGCACTGCTGTCTGAGTAGATGATGAACAAAACGCCCGAAACCGTGCAAGCTGCCCAGATACAACTTATGATGATCCCAACCCGCCTGACCGTCATGATGTTATGGTACTGGAGAGCATAAAAGATAGTAAAGTACCTGTCCACTGCAATTGAAAGCAGACTGCAAATCGATGCAAGCAAGGAGCTACAGATCACCGAGTCAATGACATTATCAATATTCACGGTGAAACTCTGCGCGTCCGTATCTGTACTGTTTAATAGGGTGATGACAATGGTTTCGGATCCGTTTGACACGCTCACCAACATATCAGCCACAGCCAGGCTGCAGATGAAAAAGTACATGGGCGAATGCAGGTTTTTGTTCTTGGCTATTGCCACAATCACCAGAATATTCTCCAACAAGCTGATGACACCCAGAGTCACAAACACCTCGGGGGAGACAAAAAGTTGCTCATAACACCCTCCATCAGAGTAGCCTTTTCCAAGGGACTCACTGGCATTGCTGTGCAGTCCGTAGGTGCTGCGGTTCCAGAAGTGGAGAGAAGTGTGCATTCCATGGTGATGAGTGGAGTTCATCCTGCACCAAGTGGATTCAGATCCCCTCGGAATTGATTCGATCTCTCGGGTCAGGTAGCCTCAGTGCTTTTCTCCACGCCTTTGTCTGCCCGAAAGTTCTGAGGCTGAAATTGGCATGCCTGTTGTGAGTAAATGTCACGTGCTCCAAGGCTGGAAATGGAGTTTTTACTGTCTCCCAGGAACGGCTCTGATCACCTTCATTGTAAAATCTTAGGCTTCTGAAATACTCATTCTCAGTTGAAAGAGTCTGCTCTTTGCTTTTCTGTCCTCCCTTCCACCTTAACTTTAGCCTGAGGCATTCAGTCAGGTCTTTTCAAAATAATTTTCCTAGTGGCTGCTGTAACACTGGGAGCTGAATCCGTGTTTGCATGTTCACACCAGCTGCCTCTGAGGTATTAGTTCCCAACCTGAAGCATTGCTTTGAGTGTTAGTAGCTGCTGCTGATTTTATGGTGTGCGAAGCGAAAAAAATGTTTACAGTGGCTCCTCCTCTGCTTCCTTCTGACCAATCCAAATGCACTGGAAGTCTGTGAGACACGGGTGATAATCCGGAGATACAAATTGCAGGGCAATACCGATTCAGATGCAGAAGCTTGTAGAATTGGGAAGCAAGCAGGATGAGAGAGACTGAATTTTCCTTGTCAAGTTTTCAAAGAAAACAACTTCGTCCCTAGAGGCCATTCTTTGATATCACCAGCCAGGCACCCCAGGTTGATTACTGCTTCAAAGAGAGACCTGTGTGTGTGTGTGTGTGTGTGTGTGTGTGTGTGTGTGTTCCTGAAATAGATACACAGTCTTTTTGGTCAAGATATTGAATTTGTTTACTCTCAATTTCTTTGATTTAAGAACCCAGGCAATAATGGTTCAATTTAAAACACCTAAGGGGCACCTGGGTGGCCCAGTCGGTTGAGCGACCGACTTCGGCTCAGGTCATGATCTCACAGTCCGTGAGTTCAAGCCCCGCGTCGGGCTCTGTGCTGACCGCTCAGAGCCTGGAGCCTGCCTCGGATTCTGTGTGTGTCTCTCTTTCTGCCCCTCCCCTGCTTCTGCTCTCTCTCTCAAAAAGTACATAAACATTTAAAATAAAAAAACAACCAAAACCTGTTAAAAAAGTAAAATACCTGAAACACAGGGAGAATATTTGATAATACAAGTAGATTATGCTCTCAGTGGGAGAACTTAGGAAGGTAGCTGCAGTTCATCAAAGGGTTCAAGAAGGGGTTCATTTTTTGTGAACTAATATCTGATATTTCTCTATTACAGAGTTTCTGTTGTCATAGCTGGAAAAGTTTTATTTTCACTCATGATATTTAATAACCATATAGTGTTAATATAAACTATATTTGAACTCAACAGGAAAAAGATCTATAATTAAGCAAAACTCAGTTTTTAAGCTTTAGTGAGGTCTAATTGATATAAAAATACATATTTAATGTATGCATTTAAATCAGTTTGGACATATGCATATACCCATGATGCCATCATCACAATCAAGGTCCTAAACATATTCACCACTCCAAAATTTTCCTTATGTTCTTGTGTGTGTGTGTGTGTGTGTGTGTATTTGTTTTGTGGTAAGATCTATCCTCTTATATTTTAAAATGCATGATACCATATTATTAACTATAGGCATTGTGTTGTGCAGTAGACATCTAAAACTTGCATAATTGAAACTGTATACCCATTGGGCGACAATTCCTTGACAGTGGTCTTGGCAATCATTTCTTGGATTAAACACCCAAACTGCAGGCGGCTTAGGAAAAAGGGATGAGTGGGATTACATCAAACTGAAAAGCTTCTGAAGAACAAAGAAAACCATCAACAGAATGAAAAGGCCACCTACAGAATGGGAGACAATGTTTGCAAGCCATCTATCTGATAGAAGTTAATATTCAACATATGTAAGGATCTCCTACAACCGAATCGTAATAAAAACGAAAACAAAAACCAACTAACCAACCAAAATGAGCAGCTCTATTTAAAAATGGCAAAGAGAGAATCATGCTTATAAATACAGAAAAGAAACTGGTGATTGCCAGAGGGGGCGGAAAGGGGAGTGGGAGACACAGGCCTTCCAGTTATGGAATGAATAAGCCATGGGGATGAAAGGCACAGCAAGGGAACTATAGTCAATAATTTTGTGATAGTGTTGAATGGTGACAGATGGTAGCCACACTTGTGAGCACAGCATAACGTATAGAGATGCTGAATCACTGTGCTGTATATCTGAAATGAATATAACATTGTGTGTCAACTATACTCAAATGATTTAAAAAATAAAGCAAAAAATAAGATAAAATAAGATAAGATAAAAATAGACAAAGTACTTGAATAGACATTTATCCAGGGAGACATACAAATGGCTACCTGATTTTTGAAAAGGTGCTCAACAAATTAATTATCAGGAAAATGCAGGTCAAAACCACGCTGGCTAATCACTTCACACTTGTTAGGATGGCTGCTACCAAAAAAAAACCTCAGGAGGTAACGAATGTTGGTGAGGATGTGAAGAAATTGGAACTGTTTTTTTTGTTGTTGTTTTGCTTTGTTGTTGTTGTTGTTGTTGTTTTTATAGCAGCCAACCTACCTCCATAATTCAAAGTTTTGTCAATTAAATGCACACATACCTTAGCAACTTTGCATATTCTAATACCAGCCAAGTGCTAGTTATTAGAGCTTCTGAATGTTTTGCTGAAGCTAAGTTTGAAGGATTGTGGCAAAGTCACAAATTAATTAAGCTTCAGGTTATAAAATTTTATTTAATGTTCTTCTCTTGCTGTATTTTTGGTTTTATCTCTTTATGATTCACGGCTACTGATAACAGGGGGACTGAGAAAGAATTGTTCCAGGGCTAATTTGAAGTTCTCAATCATTTAGGTAAGTGCTGTATCTTCTTTACGCTTTGCGACTGAGACGATGCTAGGTATCGTTCCTGAGCAGTGGGTTAAATTAGTACCTTCCAGCCATCCCTGGCATTCAGTGGGGCTCCATGACTGAATTCTACTTCATGCAGTGTGGATAGAAGTGATGCACATTGAGTTATCTCCCTTACGATTCTACACTCTTTTTCTCTCATTGGTAGCCAGCTGCAGAGTGTCTTTGGAGTCTCCTGTTCTAGATGGCAGAACCATGTCATGGAAGGAGCCTAGAGCTCTGAAGAACTGGAAAGAGCAGAGCTCACTCCTCCACTCCCCTCCCCAACACCCTAGCCCACTAACTATAGGGAACTGTGATTTAAGCAAGCAATAGTTATCACTGTTGTTAAACTACTGAAATATTGGTGTTATCTATTACAACAGCTGTCATTAATTACCTTGATTTAAAATTTGTTATCGGAGGGGCGCCTGGGTGGCGCAGTCGGTTAAGCGCCCGACTTCAGCCAGGTCACGATCTCGCGGTCCATGAGTTCGAGCCCCGCGTCAGGCTCTGGGCTGATGGCTCAGAGCCTGGAGCCTGTTTCCGATTCTGTGTCTCCCTCTCTCTCTGCCCCTCCCCCGTTCATGCTCTGTCTCTCTCTGTCCCAAAAATAAATAAACGTTGAAAAAAAAAATATTTAAAATTTGTTATCGGAGCTATTTATAAGCAACAAACCCAAATTACATGAAAATCCTTTCTTTCTTTTGTTTTGGATGTATGTGAATAGTGCATTGCCTACTAAGCAACAGGGAAGAAATCTTTTGAATTGCTGAAGCATCAGGTAGTCAACTCTGTCTCATCTTTGTCCTGAGTCAGCTCTTGACTTTGTGCTACTTACTTCTGTTGGTGGCTTAGGCTTAACATTCAGAGTATCTTTGATTTCTCCGTCTTTCTCAGAACTCCCTATATGCAATCGCTTGTAAAATATCTTCTGCTCTACCAGTGTGTCTGATTCCTCTTTTTCTCTTTACCAAACTCATTTCTCACTATTCTTCACAGAAACTTGATTGTAGTCACAATCATATTCTAGATGACACTAACACTAGGGATTTTCCCATGAGTTTACACCCTCTACATGAAATGCTTTCCCCCCATACCTGTGAATGCACAGTCATCCTTACTTTCTAAAACTTATTGGGGCACCTGAGTGGCTCAGTTGGTTGGGCATCCGACTTCAGCTCAGGTCATGATCTTAGGTTCATGGGTTTGAGCCCCACGTCGGGCTCTGTGCTGACAGCTCAGAGCCTGGAGCCTGCTTCCGATTCTGTGTCTCCCTCTCTCTTTCTGCCCCTCCCCACTCATGCTCTGTCTCTCTTTCTCTCTCTCAAAAATAAATAAACATTAAAAACAATTTTTAAACTTATTTATATGTACTGTGCAATTCATACAGAATTATATAATTATAGCTAAAATTAGTGATTGAAAACACTTTCTTTTAGCTTTTTGCAAAAAAAGGATTTTATTTAGAAACATGATCACACTGAAATCTCAGCAAGCCATATACATTTAATACCTCAGATTTAATTATTTGGTGCAGATTTATAAAACGTTGATCATATGGTTAATCATGCTGAAAGATGACATTTTGTCACCTCCAATGAGCCATGTTAATTGCCTGTCATGGTTTAGTTCTCTATGAGCCAGAAGAAATACAGTCAGCAATGTAAGACACATTAATGGTGTTTTTGAAAATTTATTGCAGATTTCCTTTTTTTAATAGACACAAAATTGAGTTAGATCAGAATAGATCTCTCTCATGAGCAAAGTTCTTGTTTTATATTTAATAACAATAAATATAAGACATTACTAAAGAGAAGTATTTATCAAACTAAGCTAGATGGATTACCATTTTTAGGTGATGTTAATGTTATTCCATTGCAAAATAAAAGGGAAGATTCCAAGGTCAAATAATTCTGGAAGATATTGCAAACTCACCGCCTTCTTCAAGTTTCAGAGTTTACATTAGCATATAAAGTTCATGAAATTTTTTATCAGAAAAAAATTTGAGGGGCACTTGGGTGGCTCATTCGGTTAAGCGTCTGACTTTCTCTCAGGTCATGATCTCACAGCTCGTGGGTTTGAGCCCTGTATCAGGCTCTGTGCTGTCTCTCTCACACTGTCCACTCACACTGTCTCTCTCTCTCAAAATAAATAAACATTTAAAAAAAAATTTGTGAAAACAGGAGTAAAAGTATT